CATCAGGCACAGTGACATAAATGGCTGTAACTGTTAAATGGTTTACTTTTGTTAAACCCACTGAATTAAAATGAAAGTCTGGGCTTTAATCACATCTCATGTGGTGGTGTTAACTGTAAAAACTGTCATTAGATCCGGCCTAAAATGTTCCTCTTTGGCAAAGTATATAGTTAGGGCTGGATCAGGTGAGTCCTCAGTCCTGCAATAAGCTGCTGTTTCTTCTTCACTCATGTGTTTATACACCACTCTGCATTTAACCATTAATTATTATTAATCTGCTCTTTTCAACAGGGTGTCCTTTGTCCCACCTTCCTCCCCTCACTCCCAGCCAGTTGAGGCAGTTGGCCGCCCCTCCCTGAGCCTGGTTGTGCAGGAGGTTTCTTCTTGTGCTTGTTTACAGGGGTTCATGTGATTGTTGGGATTTTCTCTGCTTGTGCTTGTGTCGAATGTTAATGTGCCTTAACCTTCTAAGACCCAAACTTTTCCACAGCATGCATTTTTAATTTCTCTTTGATATTTGGGCATATTGGGGCCCGATGAATGTAAAAACAAAGAATTACCCGATTTTATTTTGACCTTATTTTTGCTTTTAAGAAAAATAAGAGCCACATATGAGGATATTCGTTTAAAATTCTGATAGAACAGTATCAGTACAATGTCCTCGTAAGTGGATATCAGGCCCATGTAGAGGAAAATTGAGTATTTTGGTCTAAATAACCTAAAATGTGATGTCCACATATGTAGACGCCAAGTCTTAGGAGGTTAAGGTAACTGTTTTTGTGAACTGGCACTATAAAAATAAAACTGAACTGAATAAAAAACCTACCTGATAGGCTCTGCTTCCTCTTCTCTCACCTGGACACTCCTCCATCTGAGATTCAACTTGAGTGAGAATGGTGTTCATACTACACACACACACACACACACACACACACACACACACACACACACACACACACAATGGTGTGATTGCCGTTGTTTTACTTCTTTTAGCAACACACTCTGTATTCAGCTTCTAGTAATCTCCTCAGTTCCCGTTCACTTGATAAAGATTTGGTGTTGGTCATCTGAATGCCATCCTCACATGTTGCGCAGGACGCAGCCCCCACAGTGGTGAAACACTCTTCGTGGATAGGGCTCGATCAGGTTACCCTGAACCCTCAGTTAGAGAAAACCTGGGCTGCTGGAGTGTTCCTTCTTTGCTCACATCTGTTTACTCTTTGTGTTTATACATCACTCTGCATTTAATCATTAGTTATTAATAATCTCTGGTTCTCTTCCATGATGTGTCTGTTTTCCTGTCTTCCTCCCCTCACCCCCAACTGCTTGAGGCAGATGACTGCCTCTTCCTGAGCCTGGACTTCTTGCTGTTAAATGGCTTTCCCTTCGCACTGTTGCCAAGTCCTTGCCCAAAGGCGGACCAAGCAGGGAGTCGTTGGGGTTTTCTTCATAGTATTGTAGGGTCTTTACCTTACAGTATAAAGCACCTTGAGGCAACTTTCTCTGTGATTTAGCACTCTATAAATAAAACTGAATGGAAATGAATTACTTTCCAGAGTGTGCCTCTCTGAGATATGGTTTTTATTCCTACATGCGTAGCCTCATTGGATGTGAGACATTCCATCATTTCTTTAATCCTGTCACAAATATTTTTGAAACACTTTGGTGACATAGGGTTCAAAATTTCTAAATTGGATTTGAAAGAATATCTAACTCAAAGTATAAAAATCAAAGATAAGATATACATGTCACATTTGTGAAACTGTAGTGTTTATGCAGTCTACTAATGACTGGACTGAAATGCGTAAGGATGAAATCTGCATGTTAACTATCAGAGACCTCACACTCTCAAAGTCTAGAGATTTCCAACAGGGTTTTAGGAATGTCCAGCTTAGCTCAGGTTTACAGGAAGCAGTGGACTGAGGAATGATTTACAGGGTTTTTGCAGTAGAGAAAAATGTCACGTGTTGGTATATGGTATACTGTAGGTATACGGAGGGAGACAGCTTCTCCTGCTGAGTTAATCTGCAGCTAATTACTAAGTACAAGCTTGATTAATGCCTCAACCCCATGGAGGGGGGAAGGGTACAAGAATGTAAAACAAAGAACATTTGTTTTCACTACTACTAGTTTTCAAATATATGTGCTGTAATTAACATATTTGTAACAGAAAGACCAGAACTACTCATAAAGACTTTTATGGCATATTACATATAAATAAACATACAATAGGTTTCTGTATATGCATTGCCATTCATTTAGGTCTTTTGAAATACTGGTCAGCAATATTTAGTATAGTCACTGTGTAGTTCAACACAGCTCTATTCCACAGATTTATTAAATAATTAATTACTTTATTTGTTGCCAGTTCAGACAGCAGTCATCACAAGGCATTTTCTATTATCATTAAGGTAAAGACCATAATACACAATTCATATCCTCAAACCTTTAGAAAGTGGGTAGGTGGAAGGTAGAGTATTTAAATCTTGTAACTTACCTATGTGAGGCAGGAATGCAGCTCATGTTTGGCCTAAAGACTTTGCGCACAAAACTAAAAAGGTATTCCAAGGAAAATGGAAAAACCGAGACTAGTTCAGTTAAAAGTTAGTTACTGGGTGCTATCAGTCACTTTCCTGTCCTTCCTGCTAATCACAGGTTCAGTTTCCTCCTCTGGTTCTCTTCCCTTCATTGTCCAACAGTGTCATGTTTAGTGACGCACGCAGCACTTGGCATACACACTGGTGTGCAAACCTCTTTTCCAATCTGAGCGTCTCAGTGTCACCTTTAATTACAAACAAAACCTTGATGTAACATGTGCAGCAACACGTGACTTGGCACGTGCTGATTAACAGGTGAGCTGTCCTGGCAGCACACATTCATCCAGTTGGGGAGATTATTTTACATCATAATTAATGCTACAAGCTTACCGCCATATAGCTTCAAATATGTATTAGTCAGCAGAGTTGTTGATGTCATAGTAATAAAACTCCCAGCTAAGGCTGTGGGAACTACAACTTTAGTTTAAAATCATAAGAACATGTTTCATGTAATTAAACACATGAAACATGTTGGAATTCATTTGAGATAATGTTTTACTAACACCTTAGTAAATATGAATAAATTATGTGAAGCTCAATCATATCACAGGTGTTTTCAGCACCAGTCCACCCAGGGGGTAGTGCTATTCTGTAACAGCGCTATTGTCTATTTAGTGACTTGCCACTGATTATTCTAATTGAATACTTGAATACTTGTATCTGTATGCTTTTAGCAGTCACCAAGGCGCAAACTATTGAAGGCTATGGCACAGTTATAGTTTTTCTGCACCCAAGTACATTCTAACATTTACACACATTCATTGGGGTTGCACATCTCGCCCACAGATACTTTGGCATTACAGTGCCATATGATGAATTCAATGGTTTGGATAGCCCAGTGCTCTTATCAGTAGTGAAAATGACCAAACCAAGAAAAACTTAATGAACGTGAACAGTTTAAAAGAGTTTGTAAATGTTTGGGATAAAATGAACAAAATGTAATTTCGAATGAATGCAAACCAAAGAAAATGAAAGGAAGACAAAGCACATGACAGAGAAAATGACAAACATTC